TGCCGAGTATTATGGATCCCTTGCGCACAGTTTGTATTCAAATCCATTTTATTTGGGAATTTGTATTCCTTCTGAATGTGAGGCCATTGATATTACTACCATGTTAAATCATTGTAAGTATTAAATATTATGTTAAAAGTATATAATTAATGGTAAAAATTAATATATTTTATTGACAGCAATGAGTAAATTTCAATTCGAGCCTCACATCGGAAGTGACTGTTATGTGGGAGACGTCCAGAAATATAATATTAAAAAACTTGTGCAAAAACTCGACTTTTACTCAATTATGTCAATGTTTGTATCTATCATAATGGGAATTAAAATTAAATTAAATTTTTTATGTATCCCTGTTTAGCTCAATAATCAGTGGCATGTGTGCACTCATAGGTTTGGCCACAATCTGCGAGTTTGTGTACAATCTATTCCACGACAAAGTTGCCGACAACGAGAGACCACTTATTATGAGTTTCTCTCTCATATCTAACGTTAAGAAATTATATTCATTGAAATGTCCACCAAATGAGGAGCATTTGCAATCAATAAATGGCATTAAAATCATTGCAATCATTTGGGTAGTCGTGGGAAACGTGTATTTAGTTGGATATCAGCCACAACTCCGATCTTTTATTAGTACAGTATTCATAGTATAAACAAAAATAAGAAAATGAAAAATATAAGTGAAAAATAAGTGTATAAATTTTTATACACAAAAGTCTCTCGCAAGTCTATCTCGACTCGGCTTCTCCACCTACAGAAGGCATAGTCGATTATGAGTTGTCAACCCTGAGTAGTGTGTAAAAGAAAGATTAACCCATATGATTCTCGTAACTCATATCTCATTCATGAAAAGTATTTTTCAAATAAATATCATTTTGTTATGATTAGCGGTTTGCTGACGGCGTACACGACAAGCGTTTACGCCATCAGATGTAACGGAAGAGTAAATTTAGTCAAATATGTGGCGAAACGGTTGATACGATTACTGCCGCCCATTGTATTACCAATTTTGTTGATGTCTTTAATGCCTTTACTGCCAAACGGCGGACCCGTTTACAACTCGAGCACAACGCGAATGCGGGATAATTGTGCCCAAAACTGGTGGAAAAACTTGCTATTTATTAGCAATTTATTGGATCCAAACGATACCGTAATTATTATATATTTGTCTTGTAGTACAACATATTTGGGAATGAAATTTGATTTTCTCTCTACTTTTATGTACTTTTGCAGTGTTTGCCGCACTTGTGGTTTATTAGCGCCTACTTTCAACTAAATTTGATTGCAATCATTGTTTTGTTCATCACTTATAAGAGGCCCAAAATGTTCAATTTGTTTGCCATAACTCTGGTATTAATTGGAGTTATTTTTCCAATGCTTAACACTTATGGAAACAAATTGTCTTTAAAATCGCCGTTCATTGATAGACCACTACTCGAGTATGGGCTCAACATTTAACATCTTTTCCTCACAAATACACTCAAATCCCTAATCTCTCTATTATTTTACAGCGAAATTCCAAACGACTTACGGCTTAAACATTTCTTACCATTCAATCATTTTTCCTCGTTTTTCATCGGAATATCAATTGGCGTTAACTTAAGTTCAGTTCAAACAAAAGCAAATTTAAATACCGTAAGACTTATGGCAAACATTTCACAATAAAAACATTTTTGACAATTGTTTCCCAAATTTTCTTAACAAACTTTTTACTCCTAACTATAGTTCATTCGTTTGACCCTTTGGTTTGTTTTACCGATAATTAGTTTGCTATCAATTTGTATAACATTTTTGTGGAATAATATGACCGCAAGTGAGCCCTCGCTTACACTTTCCATGTTTTATAACGGATTCAGTCGAATAGCATTCATATCAGCCTTCGCTTGGGTTCTCAATGAATGTCTCAACAAAAGAGGAGGTCTTTGAAGTTATTATACAACTATTTGATTGAATAATTAATATTTCTGTATTTAGGGTTAATTAATAAACTCCTATCAAACAAACAGTTATTACCACTGAATCGACTGACGTATCAAATATATTTATTAAATTTAATAGTCATTTGGTTTTATTACTTTACAAAACGCGAGCTAATTGTCTACAGAGATATTGAATTGGTTTGTATTAAATAAGTTAAGTCTAAACTTAAAATAATTTCATTTTATTCGTATGTTTCATAGTTATTCACGAGTTGTGGAGTACTTGTGCTGACAATAATTATATCAATATTTGGTTATTTAGTATTTGAGGCGCCGTTTATTAATCTATCGAAACGCATATCAATTGTTAATGTAAAACAAAACGACCCGGAAACTAAACCAAAGACTAAAGTGAATAACGTTACGAGTAGTGTTTGTATTAAATTAGAAAATGTGGAAATTAATGGCAACACAATCAATAGCGACAAATATGGCTTAAATGAGGAGAACATCAATATTAGACTTTAATGTCTGAAGTTTACCATTCAATCTAATGTCAATTAGTTTACCATTCAATCTAATGTCAATAGTCAGACTGACAAATGTGTTTCATTTATTCCTGTTTTTTGTAACGTTTTGTATTTATATTTATCTATTATTTAATACAATTTTTGCCTAAAAGTTTACTTTTGATTCAAATTAAACATTGTGAACGATAAACATGATTTAACTCAAAATGATTAATGTGTTGCAAAAGTCTTTCATGAGTCTATGTGTCCGTACAGTAGATTAGACCTGAGGTCTACACAAATATTCAATCAAATTATACTACAATTCATGTTCAGTCAAGTGTTTCCTCTTAACAACACATGACTACTAATTAATAATTAATTATTTCTAATTGTTTTTAATCTAATGTTTGGATTCTTAGAGAAAAGTAGCTATAATTTTGTGATTGATTATTAAATTTGAATTTGAAAATCTAATTATTTAGAGGAAATATTTGTGATTGAAAATTAATTGCTATGTTTTTAAGCGAATTGATAAATAACGGACTCTTTAATCAATTCTTATGTTATTTGTTGAGCGACTAATTAATTTCATTTGTCTAATAAGACAAAAGTCTTGTCACTCGTGAGAATGAAAATCTTACCCAAAAATAGACGACTTTATTGATATATAAGCCTTAGTTTGGCGAATAAATGAACAATAAATTAATTTTATTTAATTAAGTCCATGAAATGAATCCATAATAGACAACAAAATGAGACCAAATATCGGTATCAAAGATCTTTTTGTTTTGGGTTATGAAAAACTAAACAGACTATCCATCCATTTATATTTGCCCAGTATTTCCAGTTAAACCCATTATTTTGAGTTAATTATCTCTCTTTCTTGATATTTATTTATCCATTACTTAACTATACTTTTATATTACATTTTGTGGGAGAATAGGATCAAAAACAATACTCAAAGTCTATTATTATTTGCCATTCATATCATAGCAACTTTTATTCACTAGACTTTTATTTGGATTATTTACTAAATTCTAATTATTTCCGAAACAATAAGAATATAAAATTATTAGCAAAAGGAAATATAGTTAGATAAAAATAATAAATTGGATTTTCAATACATATATACTAAATTATATTAAAAGAAGTTGGAAACATTTTGTTGGCATTTGTGTCACAATTCTATAAATAATAAGATATAATAAGAATCAGTGGAAACATGTTTTGATTGAACGAGTGATTTGATCCGTATGTAAAAAATTGAAATTAAAAGAAGTTGGAAACATTTTGTTGGCATTTGTGTCACAATTCTATAAATAATAAGATATAATAAGAATCAGTGGAAACATGTTTTGATTGAACGAGTGATTTGATCCGTATGTAAAAAATTGATCGGAAACTGATGGCTATACTAACAAGTGTTGGAAGACATGATTTCATGAATTTATGGTCCGTTTCACTAGAAGTCAATTCTGTCACCGATTCTGTGATCTCACTGTCCGCATGAAAACTACTGATACTCTATCAGTACATCTGGTAGTGAATGTCATCTTTTTATATTAATAAAGTTATATAAACTTACTTTCAGCTAATATTTTATAATGCCTTTCAAAACATTTATTTTGGTTTCTAATTTTTTTTATTAAAAAAATGTATTAATAGTTGGAAAGTCAATAGAAAAAAGAGCGAAAATGAAAGGTTTAGATATTTTGATGACATTTTCACATTTTGTGCTAACAATATATACCTCAATACTTATTGCAACTTTATTTTCTTTTTCATGTTCAGTTCTGTGATCCGGATTTAATTGTATATAAGTTTTTGATACACAAAATCAATGAGTTTTAGCTAACTTTAGACTTTCCAACACTTTAGAAGTTTAAAAGTAAAGTTATATTAAATTTCATTTTGAATGTTATATGAGTTAACTTAATATCTATTGTTATATGTATGTTTAATTTATAATTTATTTGAAACTTCCTTGTGACATTATTTTTTTATTACTTATTAATCAAATAAAATTTTTATGGTTAAAATACGAAATATAAAATTCATTAAACCTTCATTTAATTATATGTATGTTTAATTTATAATTTATTTGAAACTTCCTTGTGACATTATTTTTTTATTACTTATTAATCAAATAAAATTTTTATGGTTAAAATACGAAATATAAAATTCATTAAACCTTCATTTATTACATAAAAACAATCAACAAAACAATTATTAAATTTTCCACTATTATTTTCAATAATATTTGAACATTAAATTATTTAACAACAAAATACTTGCAAATAATGACATTAAATAAGATATAATTTATACAATTGTAAGTAATTTAAAGAAATAGCGTATTTTCATATCTTATAAATAGAAATATATTTTTAAAAGTTAATACATTTATTATACATAATCATTGATAATTCTTGTTTAATAAATATACTGTATTAAGGGAAACACTTTATAAGGTTTGTCTATACTGTACATCAATACAAATATATAGTGTATTTATATATCATTTACAATCAAGGAAAATTTGATGGGTAATAATCGTGTTATTAATAAATATACTGTATTAAGGGAAACACTTTATAAGGTTTGTCTATACTGTACATCAATACAAATATATAGTGTATTTATATATCATTTACAATCAAGGAAAATTTGATGGGTAATAATCGTGTTACAGGAGTTTTTAAATTAAATTTATGTATGATTTATTAGACATTTATTATCAAATTTAATACACTTTTTGTACGATATTTAAATATAAGTTTTATAGTACTTATCATAAACTCATGTCATGCGACCATTATATGCATGCAAACGTTTTCTCAATCATTTTGTCTGACAAATTGTCTGACATTTATTTGACCAGTGTCACATCATAACTAAAAAATAAAATATGTTTTTGTCTGTCGTGTCCAAGTATGCCATCACTCAATACGCGAAACTCGTGTCACAACTCTTGCCTTTGAATTTCCATTGAGTTTTTTGTTGTCACTGTTCCTAATGTGACCGCGAATTGAGTTCATGTTTATAAGACTTTGTCCCGAATTTGTATTCTTAGTGCTCATCGCGAACACCGATGTTCTGTACGAATGCAGCGAATCGCTGCTCCGGATGGTTGTGCCCCTTCTCTGCCGGCCCCTCATTAGCGGACAGCAATAAGACTTTGTCCCGAATTTGTATTCTTAGTGCTCATCGCGAACACCGATGTTCTGTACGAATGCAGCGAATCGCTGCTCCGGATGGTTGTGCCCCTTCTCTGCCGGCCCCTCATTAGCGGACAGCACTTGGACACCAATACCTTGAGATCTGTCTTCAAAATTTATTTTAATATTAGAGATAACTCGATAGACTTGACTGAAGGTTAGCACAGATTTATAGATTGGGATAAAGAGAAATACAGTTATTGTTGTAAATATAGTATAAGAATAGACTATTGTCTTAAAAAACTATTTATAGTTATTTTGCCAAAATATTGTTTATTTCTAATTAAATGTATTTTTAGTGACAAAAGCCATAGAAATCGATAGTAAGTTATAAATATACTTTCTTTTATAATTCTACAAATACTTTTAAACAAAAATATAATTTTATTATAAGACTTACTCTGAAGTTTTCACTCATAAAACAATAGATAATCGGATTAACTGTAAAAAAGAAATTGTTATAAAGTTATTGATACGTAAATATAAGGTATTAAGTTATTATGGTATAAAATTTATTTTAAAATATTAATGTAATATGATTTAAATCTTATTTGTTTTAAAATAATTTTTTAATAAATTAATATTGTAATTTTGTAAATTAGTTGTAAATAATACTC